ACTGGCTAAATGAATATACTAATGTTATTGTTAGCACGAGAAGGCATGATGTGGGATTCCAAAAATCTTTTGTCTTATGAACAGAGCATTATAGACTAGATTTGGTCTTTATGAGCCAAGGATCTTTTGCCAATCAAAGTCTGTCTCGTTCTTGTCCACCCTCTCTGAATCTCTACCCCTGTCCACGGCCATCCCCTGTCTTTCCTGGGTCTGAGCTCCCCAGGAGGCCCAAGGTCACTGCCATTTTTTGGTCTGATGACCTCCAAGCTTGCTCGTATCCTCTCCTGGACACAAGTTGGACGGGAGCGAGCAGGGACCCTTCCTCCCCAGCCCTCCCAGACAGCCCACATTCTTTCCCACGGGGCATTTCCAAGCCCAGGCCTGGGGCCCTCAAGAGCCGCAAATCCTGGTTCTGGTGCAGCCCAGGGCTGAGCTCAGTGACAGGCTGAGGCTGGGTGCAAACCTCCTGATTGACATGAAAAAGATGTCAGGAATCTGAAAAAAATATATGTTTTGGCTGGAGCCCCGCCTTAATCCCTCATGAGCTGTCTTAGTTGAAAGGCTTTTTTTTTTTTTTTTTTTTTTTTTTTTTTTGCGTGCAGATTATCTGAGAACTGCTTGGCACTTGGGAATTTTCCATTGGCGCAAGCCGAGCCTGCCGGTGCCAAGAAAGGAGAGAAGGAATATCAGACAAAATGGGCCCCGCTCTCCTGCCAGTCTCAATTTGGGAGACTTTTTTCCATCCTTGGGGCCATTTGTGAGAAATCAAGCTCCGAGGCCTTCTAGGGAAAATCTTTGACTCTGTATTCTCCAGTGCGGAAATTCTCCACATTTGAATATTTAGTGGTGACATGAGGAGGGCGGAGGGCAGCGAGGCCAAAAGAGTTGTGTGCGCTTATTTTTTCATTTTGTGATGGGGAGGCGGGGCAGTTTCTGCAGTCCAAAAAGGCTTAACCAAGCCGCGGCTTCACTCCCCACTGCGCCTGGCTGGGCGTGGCACCTCATCTCCGGAGCCTCAGTTTCCTGTTCAGTAAAAAGAGCTAAAGATGCTCCTTTCTTGAGTCATCGTGAGGCGTGACTGAATTCTCTGCTCTCTCTCTTTCTGGGGGGTGTGTGTGTGTGTGCGCATGAGTGTGTGCATGTGTTCATGTGTGTGTGTGTGCGTGCATGTGTGTGTGTGTTTGAGTAAGGTCCTTAGCTGCGAAGCTGGACCTCAGAAGGTGGTCCTTGGGTGGACAACAAGGAGACTGTCCATATCTCTCTAGATCAACGTTCGTCAAAGGCAGGTGTGTCTGCGGGGGACTTCTGGGGAGTGGGTACTAAGATGGAAGCAGGTCAGAAGCCAGGAGGCATAGCTGCTGAGATAATGTACTTTTCTGTTACTTTCCATATTTATTCCCATTTTGAAATCCTTTGGCTCCTGGGGAAAATATCTGGATTAAAAACTTAGCTGTGTCTCCGCTGTGCTATGGGATATTAAAGGGCAGGAGCTCTGTGAAGAGGGTGGAAATGTGTGTGGGCCCTGGGTGGGCTAACAGTTCACCCTTGGAACTGCTGTTCCCTAAATAGTTGCTTCGTGTTTAGGGCGAGAGAGTGGCAGGTGTGGAGAAGCAGGGCCCCTAGTGGCTGCCTCCACGTCTGCTTTGCTGTCAGAACAATTCTGCTCTGGCCCAGACTTGCAGGCTCTGCAGAGTAAAACAAAACTTCTGCAGCTGGCTGGGCCCTCCCTACTCAGAGTCGAGTCTGCAGGCAGCTGTCGATCCTCAAGCCTGCCTTTGGCGGGTCTCATTCCTGGGCCTGTGCAGCTCCTCCTAGGGTTCTTCTCGGCCACACTGCCTTTGAGAGTGTCCATCTGACTGTTCCAGGGACCATTGGCCCCTCTCCGAGGTTGGCTTCAGGGAAGCGCTCAGCTGCTGGCCCTTAATCTGGCTCTGTGAGGGGGTCTAAAGGGGACACTGCCACCACTCAGCTCTCCCAGACCAGAGAGGTGGGTCCTAGTAGAAGCAACCAGTAGCATGAGGTCTATGCGGAAAGGAGCACTGGGACAGTGAGGGCCCCACCCCGCCCCTCAGTGGAGATTCTCTCTCCGTGGCAAGCTTGAGAGTTAAGGGTATTTTTATAGGAGCACGTATACAGCACAGTGTCTGGCACATAGCAGGCTTTTCATTTGAGGCAATGTCACATAGTGGCTAAGAGAGTGGGCTTTAATCCAAACTTCCTGGTTTCAAATACCACCACTACCAGCTGCACGACTTTGGGAAAATCACGTAAACCCTTTGAGCTCTCGTTTCCTATACGTAAAATAGAAATTATAATAGCACTTCTTTATTTGGTTGTTCTGAGGACTAAATGAGATACTATTTTTAAGACGCCAGCACTGGGGGTGGGGGGCATATTGGAGTAAGCATAATAATGGCACCCAGAGATGTCCGTGTCCTAATCCCCAGGACCTATGACTATGTTAGGTTTCACAGCAAAGGGGAATTAAGGTGGCAGATGGCATTAAGGCGGCTCATCAGCTGTCCTTGAGGTGGGGAGATTATCCTGCATTATCTCGGCGGTCCAGCGTCATCGTAAGGGTCTTTATAGTGGAAGAGGGAGCAGAAGAGAGTGAAGCAGAGAGAGAGATGGCAGCACGAGGTTTCAATCAAAGTTTTGCTGGTTTTGAAGATGGAGAAGGGGGTCACGAGCCAAGGAATGCAGGCAGCCTCCAGAAGCTGGGAAAGGAAAGCAAACAGGTTCTTCCCTGGAGCCTGCAGCAAGGAGTGCAGCCTTGCTGGCCCCTTGGTGTTAGCCCAGCAAGACCCTGATGGACTTCCATCTTCCAGAACTGTAAGAGCATACAACCGTGTTCTTGCATTTTTGTAGGAAGCTGTTATTGTCTGCAGTGATCACAACCACACAAGGCATATAGCAGGTGCTCTAGAATAGATGAATAAACAAAATGAGTAATATGGAAGTCTTGGGAAATTAACACAAAGGAAGGGACCCTGATCCAAGGAATGCAGGTGGTATCTAGAAGGTGGAAAAGACAGGGAAACAGATGCTCCCCTGGAGTTTCTGGGAGGAGCCAGCCCTGAGACAACTTGACCTTAACCTAATGAGACTGACCTCCAAAACTGTAAGAGAATAACTGTGTGCAGTTTTAAGCCATGACTTTGTGGTATTGTGTTACTGCATCAATAGAAAACTAACACAGCCAGGTGGAGGGGAAGGGCTTCCTTTCCTACAAGCTGAGCATATATGTGAAAGGCGGCTTATGTGCCCATTGTCAGAGGGGGAAACTAACCCGGTATTAGTTCTGTATTACTGTGTAACAATATCACCAACTCATTTAAATGAACTCACATTTACTCCCTCATAATTTTCATGGGTCAGGAATCTGGGTGCAGCGTGACCGGGTCCTCTGCTCTGTGTCTCCCAGAGCTGCAGTGAAGGTGCTGGCTGGGGCTGCGGTCTCATCTGAGGCTTGGCTGGGGAGGGCGTCTGCTTCCAAGCCCAGGCGGTTGTTGGTGGTTCCTTACAGGCTGCTGGACGGAGGGTGCATTTTCTTTTTGGCTGGAGGCTCAAGGCTGCCCTCAGTTCACTGCCACGTGGCCTTTTCCAAAGGGCACTACAACACGGCGGCTTGCTCATTCACACCCAGCACGACAGGTGTTCCAGTCTTGTGTAACGTAATCACATGCACCTAATCACCGCCATCCATCACCTTTTCCATGGTCGTCACGTCTAGAAGCAATTCACAGCTTCTGTCCACAGTCAAGGGGAGGGGCTCACACGGGAGATGAGCATCAGATCCTGGGGCCACCCTAGTGCTTGTCCGCCAAAAAGACCCTGAGAGGATCAGAGGTGGGGCCGGGAATTCTGTGGCTCTAGGAAGGCAGTGCAATGTGGGGATCAAAGCACCACCTCTAGACACAGTGCTTTGGGTCAGATTCCAACTCTGACGCTTCCTCATCCTGGAAAAGTTGCTTAGCGTTCTAATCCTCTCTTTTTCTCATCTGTAAAATGGGGATGATAGAGAACCAGCCTTGTAGGGCTGTTCTGAGGTTTCTAGTTGATTCTGAATATAAAAGACTCAGTTGGGTTTCAAACCCCAGGAAGGCCTAAATCAATGTCACTCGTGCTCACTGTGTCCCCGTCAAGTCTTCTGGTTTGTTCTGTGTGGTAGGGGGTCTGTAGTCGTAGATTCGAGAAGCAGTTTGCTTTGTGGCAGGGCACGTTCTTGTCTCCCAGATCCATCCTCCCTGACTCCCTTCGGTGATGGAATCGCCCAGCGTTGGCTTGCGTCCTAGGCAGTTTGGGCTGCTCTAAGAAATTACCACACACTGGGAGGTTTAAACCACAGACATTTGTTTCTCGCAGCTCTGGAGGCTGGAAGTCCAAGATCAGCATGCTGGCTGTTTGGCTTTCTGGGAAGGGCTCCCTTCCTGGTTTGCAGATGGCTGCCTTCTTGCTGTGTCCTCATTTTGTGGAGAAAGCGAGCTCTTGTCTCTTCATCTCCTTATAATGGCACTAATCCCATACTGGGGACCCCCCCTTCAGGACCTCACCTAAACCCAATTACCTTCCAAAGGCTCCGTCTCCTAATACAATCACATGGGGCGTCAGGGCTTCAATCTGTGAATTGGGGGGGACGCAAACATTCAATCCATAGCAGCGAGGGCATACCCACCAGCTAAAACCACTTTTCTCAATGCCCCTTGCAGTAAGAATAACCATGTGACCAAATCTGGTTGAGAGAATGTGAGCAGAAGTGATGCTCTTTTTTTTCCCTAGAAAAGCTGTATTTCCTTTCTATTTTATTTTTTTAATTGAGGTAATATTGTTGATAACATTATATACATTTCAAGGGTACGTCATTATATTTCCACTTCTATATAGACTACCTCATGTTCACCACCAAAAGTCTAGCTTCCATCCATCACCAAACACATGTCCCTCTTTACCCCTTTCACTTTCGCCTGCCCTCTTAACCACAAATCTGTTCTTTGTATCCAGAAAATGTGGAATGCTTCATGAACTCGCATGTCGTCCTTGCACAGGGTCCACCACACTAATCTTCTCCGTATTGTTCCAATTTCAGTGCATGCGCTGCTGAAGCGAGCACAGCTTGCTCTTATAAGCAGCAGGTGCACCCTCCCATCCCTCTTCCCTCTTCCTGCCGGCGGGAATGTGATGGGAGCAAGCTTTGACCACAGGCCATTGTGGTGGTAGAAAAGCAGATGGAAGGGCCCTGGTTCCTGACCCCTCACCAGCCCTGGGCTGTCTCCCTAGATGCTTACGTGAGCCAGAAACCAACCTCTTCCTTTCGAAGTCACTGTACTTGAAGACTGCTTGTCAAAACGTTTTCTTCAGGATATTCTTTAATATGTCATCATTCGCTGGCTTTAGCTGTGAACATTGCAGCAGGATGAAGAGACGAGCGAAACACAGTCTCTGCTTTACCACCATGTGTGACTCCTGCCTTAGCCTGGGTTCCCAGAGAGCAGAGCCTGAGACAAAGGCTTCTGGCAAGGACTTAATCAGGGAGTGTGGTCCTGGGGGCAGGCATGGGGGACAGTGGGTGAAGCTGGGTAGAAGCCTGCGCTGGCCCCGCCATGGGTCACTGTTTACCCGACCTTCTCCAACTATTCCGTGAGAATCATCTCCGAATGACCATCGATTGGACAGAGTGGAGCCATTTCCCGCTGTCTCCTGACCCCATTCGCCAAGATTAACCCATGAGGTGTTGGCGTCAATTCCTCACCTTTCCGGATAGTGCACGTGTGGACACCGGGAGGCTTCCTGCCACCTCCTGAGTCCAGCGTTGATAGAGAACCCTGGGGTGAGATGCTGTCAGGTCTCCTGCTGCCTGCAGCTGGGTGGAGCCCACCCGCCCTGGCCACCACTGAGGCTGGGATCAGAGATGAGGTCAAGAGAGTCTGAAGTGCACAGGAGGGGCCCCACACTTGAGTGGGGGAGACAAAGTTAACACCCCAAAAGTCCGTCCTCCCGTCACCCTCACTCGCCACCTTGCCAACTGTGATGTCTGGGCGAGCTGCTGGCAGGGTCTTAACCAGACTCCCCCAGGAGTGGGGGAGGGGCAGAGGACACCAAGTGGATCCTTCCCTCACCGGCTTAGCATCCTCCCTGGCTTTTTGCGTAATGCCCACTGTGTTAGTTTCCCAGGGTTGCCAGAACAAATTACCACAAACTTGGTGGCTTCAAACAACAGAAAGGTCTTCTCTACAGTTCTGGAGGGCAGCAGTCCAAAATCCAGGTGTCAGAGGCCCGTGCTCCCTCCGAAGGCTCCAGGGGAGTGTCCTTCCTGCCTCTTCCAGCTTCTGGGGGTGTCCACAACCCTTGGCTTCCTTGGCTTTGGCTCCATCGCTCCAGTCTCTGCTTCCATCTTCACAGGCCTTCTCCTCTGTGTGTCTCTCTATGTATCTTCTCCTCTTCTGTCCCTTAAAAAGACTTGGCGTCAGATTTAGGGCCCACCCTAATCCAGGATGATCTCATCTCAAGATCTTTGTCTTAATTCTATCTGCAAAGGTGCTTACTCTGAATAAAATCACATTCTGAAGTTCCGGGTGGCCATATCTTTTGGGGGACACCATTCAACCCACTACACTCTCATTTGAAAAATTTGTCTGGACGTTTTCTGTGCTGAGGGTCTGAGACCCAACACCAACTCACTTACATGGAAAAGGAATTGACAGGAGACTGGGAGGGCCAGGGGTGGAACTGACCTCAGACATGATCAGGCAACACCCTTCTCTCTCTTTCTCTCCTCTGCCTTTCTTTGTGCCTTGGCCCCATCCTCTCCACGTCCATAAGCTTCCTCCAAGGAGGAAGGAGAAAGCAGGGTCTCAGGCCACTCTCAGCTCTAGCCGAGTCAGATAAGAGGCACGGAGAGATCTTCTGTGGCAAGCCTAGATAAAGCCTCAGGCAAGGACTCTACTGGCCCAGCTTGAGTCACGTGTCCGTCCCTGGGCCCTGCCCTTTGGCCAGGGGGATGGGGTACTAGGTTTCAAGCCCCAGAAGGACCTCATAGAATAGGGGAGGACAGTCTGCAAGGGAAGAGAGGCTGCTGTTGCTGGCAGGTGGCAGGCAGGGGTGCTGGGAGCAGCAGACACTGGGACCCTATCTGCGGACAGCCCCCTGCCCTCCCCACCGCCGCACCAAACTGCATGTTGCTCCCCAAATCCTCCATGCTGTCTCCTGCTCTTTCCTCTGCCTCCACAGTTGTCCTCTTACTGCCCCTCCCCTCCCAGCCCTCCCGCCTGCTGCCCCCAGCCCTGGCGAGCCCGGTCTGCCTGTCATGCTCTGCTCCCAGTGATCACTGAGCTTACACTGTTGTGTCATGAAGATTTGAGCGTCTCCCTCACTGGGCTGGGAACTCAATGAGCTCAGGGGCCGGAGTCAGCAGTCTGTCCATCCCCAGGCCTGGTACAGAGCAGGAGCCTGGGGACTGTGTGATGAAAGAATGAATGAGCGAATGAGAATAATCTTGGGCAAGTTTAGAGGTGCGAGCGGACGAGGAGGAACAGCCCCTCCCCCATCCCCTTGGTCACAGTGGTGGCTGTTGCAGACGTCTCTGGGACTCCTGTCACATCCCCTTGGACCCTCCTGCTCTTGACTTCAGCTCCCAGTTCTCTGTGAGCTTGGACTCACCTCCCCCTGGGGCATCCCTGCTCAAGTCAGTTCCGCGAATCTATCCGCATCCGTCGCGGGCCTTCTCCAGCGCCCCGGCGCCTCACTTGGCTCTTCTGCAGGTGCAGCAAGTTATCAGTCCCACCCAACCAGGGGAGCCTGGGAGCTGGAGCAGAGGTGCCCTGGCTCCTGTCTGTGGGCGGGGGTGCTGGAGGCTGTATTAGTTTCTTGTGGTTGCCATAATGGATTACCACAAATTGGGTGGCTTGAAACAACAGGAATTTATTGTCTGACAGTTCTGGAGGCTAGAAGTTCAAGATCAAGGTGTTGGAAGGGTTTTTGGAGCCTTTTGGAGCCTCTGAGAGAGCAACATCTCATGCCTCTCTCCTGGCTTCTGGTGGCTTCTGGCACTCCGTGGTCTTTCTTGCCTTTTTGATGCATCACTCCAACCTCTGAGTCTGTCATCACAGGGCCTTATTCCCCCTGTGCGTTTTCATGTGGCCTTCCCATGAGGACCCCAGTAATCGGGTTTAGGGTCCATCTAATTCAGTGTGACCTCATCTTAACACTAGTAATTACGTCTGCCAAGACCCTATTCCCAGATAAGGTCATATTCTGAGGTTCCAGGTGGACGCAAACTTGGGGGGAACACACTATCCAGTCCAGCACCGAGGGCCTTCCACACACTTCTCAGGGGTCCTGGAGGAATCCATCCCTGTCGCCCAGAGTAGCCCAGAATACTTTGATTGCTTGTACTGCCTTCTCCATCTTCCCTGTCCCGCTCTCCCCCTCCTTCCCCTGCTTCCTGGGATCAAGCCCCAAATGCACAAGATGCACCCAAGCCCTGTGTCAGGCTATGCCTTTGGGGCACCCAAGCTAAGAGAGCGGCAGAAGGCATATCAGCTTCACAGCTCTTTTTAGTGCTAGCTGGTGGGGCCGCTTTGTTCCCCACCCACCAGCTGCCTCTCCGAGTCACCGCCCAGCAGCCACAGAGGAGAGCCTTCACGAATTACAGTTAACACTGGCTGCAGGTTTGCTCTGTGCCAAGAGCTCTTCCAAGCAGTTTACATGCCTTAACTTGTCAATTCTCACATCAACAGTTTAGCTATTATTATTGTTCCCAATTTACAGACAAGGAAAATAAGGTCCAGGTAGGTTGTATAACTTGCCCAAGGTCACACAGCTAAGGAGCAACAGCCAGGTTTGAATTCAAGCGGCTCACCTCCAGATCCTCTGCTCCAGACTTGTGTCTTCAGAGACCATGGCAGTCAGCTGATTCCCTGTGTCCTTGGGCCAGCTGGGGCACCGTGTAACCCCTTGACCTCCTTCATGGGGTCGTCCATCTCCACCTTGAACTTGGAAGACGTTGTGGATACTGACCAGATTCTCCCTAATGTCCACAACAGGGCAGGATCAAAGAAATCCATGAGGTGTTTCCTTTCACAGTTTTTCTTAAAGTAATGGTGGGTTTAAAAAGATGCTCTTGCCTTGGTGAGGATCCTTTGTAAACAGAGTGTGGCAGAGATGAAGAAATCTAAAGCGACAGGTGTTCGTTGTCCACCGTCCGCCCTGCCTTCCAAGGGTTCTTATTTGCTCTGGAGTCTATCAGGCTCCTGTTTAGCTGCCCAGGGTGAGGGGTGGAGAGGATAGGAAGCCAGGCTAGGGGAGAGGAAAGGAGGGAGGAGAGGAGAATGACAATTGTCACTGGATTTGGGGACAGATGAGCAAAGAGCATGTCTTATTCTATTTGTGCAGTGGAACTCCCCTTTCGTTGCTCCTTCAGAATCCTTTAGAGAAGACTGACGTTGCTGTGCAAGGAATTGGAGTCCAATTTGTTCTTCTCCTGGCAACGACATCATGTTGAGAAGGTCCTGTAGAAATTAACACCCACTATGCTGGAAACACCAGAAAGCTCATCTCAGGCTGGCTTGCCTATGAGGGGGATGGCTCTGTAAGTGGAAAGCTCAGAGGGAGAGCAGGTTTTGGGATTGTTCTCTCTGGAGACTATATATCATCAGACTGAAGCTTGATTTCTCTGTAATTCTCTCAGTCTTCCCTCCCCTAGGCATCATTTGTCAGCCTTGTCCTCAGGCTGGTTTCCTTCAGGGAAGCCAGGTGGCTTCTGGAGCTACTTGTTTCTCTCCCATCTGGAGGAGAGACAAGGCTTCTCTTCCCTCAGCCACCAAATGGAGGTCCCATGCTTGATTGTCATTGGGTTAACTCAAGCCACTTGCCCACCTCTAAACCAGGAGGTATGGTTTGGAGGTGGTGGGAATTTTTCAATGCGCTTCATCCAATCAGGTTCCACCCTCAGACCTGGGGGCGGGGAGGTCAGTCCTCAGCAAATCCATTGGCTGCTATGCAGTGCGGCCTGAGGAGATGGGCACAAAAGGCTGCCTGGGCCCCGAAGGTGCCCTTATGTGAATTAGGCAAAGATGCCACTTCTGAAGGTGTGGCATTGCTGTACTTCCGTGG